CCAGTCTGTCTCATTACCTCATAACCGGCCCAGTCTGTCTCATAACCGGCCCAGTCTGTCTCATTACCTCATTACCGGCCCAGTCTGTCTCATTACCTCATAACCGGCCCAGTCTGTCTCATAACCGGCCCAGTCTGTCTCATTACCTCATAACCGGCCCAGTCTGTCTCATTACCGGCCCAGTCTGTCACATAACCGGCCCAGTCTGTCACATTACCCGCCCAGTCTGTCACATTACGGCCAGTCTGTCTCATTACCGCCCAGTCTGTCTCATTACCGCCCAGTCTGTCTCATTACCGGCCCAGTCTGTCTCATTACCGCCCAGTCTGTCTCATTACCGCGTCTGTCACATTACCGGCAGTCTGTCATTACTGGCCCAGTCTGTCTCATTACCCGGCCCAGTCTGTCACATAACCGGCCCAGTCTGTCTCATAACCGGCCCAGTCTGTCTCATTACCTCATTACCGGCCCAGTCTGTCTCATTACCTCATAACCGGCCCAGTCTGTCTCATAACCGGCCCAGTCTGTCTCATTACCTCATAACCGGCCCAGTCTGTCTCATTACCTCATAACCGCCCAGTCTGTCACATTACCTCATAACCGGCCCAGTCTGTCACATTACCTCATAACCGGCCCAGTCTGTCACATTACCTCATAACCGGCCCAGCCTGTCACATTACCTCATAACCGGCCCGGTCTGTCTCATTACCGGCCCAGTCTGTCGCATTACCGGCCCAGTCTGTCACATTATTCTGTCTGTCACATTACCGGCCCAGTCTGTCACATTACCCGCCCAGTCTGTCACATTACCGGCGCAGTCTGTCACATTACCGGCGCAGTCTGTCACATTACCGGCCCAGTCTGTCACATTACCGGCGCAGTCTGTCACATTACCGGCCCAGTCTGTCACATTACCGGCCCAGTCTGTCTCATTACCGGCCCAGTCTGTCACATTACCGGCCCAGTCTGTCACATTACTGGCCCAGTCTGTCTCATTACCCGCCCAGTCTGTCACATTACCGGCCCAGTCTGTCTCATTACCCGCCCAGTCTGTCACATTACCGGCCCAGTCTGTCAC